CGATGTGCCACGCTTAGCTCTAACAAAGCCGCTGGCACCTGTAAACACAAAGCTGTAGCTGCTTTTAGCTCTGCTTTGATAAATTAACAGCTTATACAAAGGATTCGGATTAAAATGTTTGAATGGCAGGCATTGCTCAGTTTTATTTTTACATGATTGTATTGAAATTATTTCAGTTCAGATGCCACAAATAGTATAGTTTGATACATATCAGTCAAATTCCCCCAAAATAAAGACCCCTTAATTATTCAAAATCTCAGAAAAAAAATAATATCATGTGATTTTTATGTTTACTTAGCTCTCCCCTTTAAATTAGGAAATGCCATTCAATCTGAAGCATGGAATCATATTGACCCCAAGCCTCTTGAAGGGTTAAATTATGAAAAGCCTGAAATCTTTAGAACTTTTTTTCTGCATAATTTTGTAACATTTTGTAAGACCCTGAAAAAATATTTCTCTCTTTTAGTTTCCTAGTATTGTTACACATGATATGCTACGAATTCAAAACACTGTATACTTCAAGTCAAATTTTCTATTTTGGTTAATGAGATCTGCAGTTCCCCTCCAGCTGTTTTTAAAATAAGCTCGTTTCCCAGCGCCCATCACAATAACAAGTAGTGTTGTAGTGTTCTTATAATCTAATTAGATGTTCTCTGGATCAGGCAATCAACCTTTTAGCATATAGCTTAGCATTGATCATTGAAATCAATTAAACCAGTAGCTGCAATCGACTGGCAACCTGTCCAGGGTGTACCCGAAGTGAGTTGGTTCCTTTACATCAGCTCACCCCTGTGACCCCAAAAGGGAACAAGCGGGTAAGAAGATGAATGAATAAATGAGTGAATAGACCAGTAGAGTTTTCATATTTATACACTATTATAATTCAGGCCAACAAAGTAAATGTACCGTGTTGCTTTAATGAGAAAGAACATTTTGATCAGTCAGTCAAAGAGTAGTAATCTCCCACTGATAACGACGGCTGCAGCAGAGATCACAGATTTTTTCAGACTCCGTTTCCCCTCAACGGTTCATTATTATTTACAGCTGTCCTTCACCATGCTGTTCGTTTCTCTATGCATCCCCTGCTTAAATTTCTCTTGGAGTCCTTTGCTTTTTTGGGGGACTGTAATGATATGATCAGATAAAATTTGATATATCTCGAGCCATACTGCTGCACATGTGTTTGTATATGGTCTGGCCGTGTCTTTAACTGATGACTGCATGTGACGGCTTTACAGCGCTTTCTGATGGAAAAGACACTTCAAAGATTTGTATGTTTCCCATGGCAATAAAAAACCCGTAATGCATCACTGGCTGTCACTGGTAAGTTGTTACCTGTCTTGAACCCCACTGATTCACATGGCAACTGGACTAGTTGAAATGTTCTCCACGAAAAGAAGCCAGTAAAGAACATGACTGAAGCTTTTAATCTAGATTGGGTGTAAACTGTCTGAAAGTAAACAAGAGTAAAAACTTTGACACGCTTGATCTTTCTTGTTCTCTTACACAAAAGGGAACATGAAACAGCTGACCGACGAAACCAGTAGCAGTCAAGCGTTTAAAATATAGCTTTAGAGCTCACTTTCTAGTATATTTACATTGAATAAAGAGGTAAAAGAGGTTCAAGCATTTTGTTTTTCTTTTTACTTACGATTGCATTTGTGCTTTCATCTTAAAATCATGTTGAATATTCCAATAAAGTAAGATGTTGCATCTTGGATGAGAAGAGACTGTATAGATCAACAGCAGATTTGAATTTATGGCTGAATTCTTTGTTTAATGCACATTTGGTTTAATCTCCAGCTCAGTGGTTGGGCAACTTTATTGGCACCACTCCGTTATGAACTGTGAATACCCAACAGATGTTTGAGATCACTGGTGTCAATGGCTCATTAAAAACTTGGCAGGCTGATTGGATCTATAACTCACAGCATTCTGAGTCCATTTTGTACATTTCAGCCAAAATATTTTTTAGAAAGGAAACGTATGGCTTGATGGCTTACACAGTTTCCGAGCATGCACCTGCCCATGTTTCTCCACTAAACCAAACCGCTTGGAAATTTGCTGCTGGTTACACAATCATGTGAATTCTAATGTTCAGATGAGAACTCATGTGTGCACTCGTTCCATTGCTGAGCATCTTGCTAAAACACTGCATCTCTCAAATGATTTGTGGACCAATGTGCAAGTGGGTGTCGGAGCGTGGAAGGGTATCAGGAGACTGAGGCTTGTACGACTATATGAGCACTTTAATCGTTTTGGCATTTTCTGGCATGTCATGGGTCTCCTAATGGATAACAGTCATTCAGGGATGACACGGAAAGGGAAAACACACGTGAGTAATAGTACGATTAGCAGTGGGTGCTCAGGGCTGTTGATTTGCCCATCAGCAACCCTCTGTCATCAGGCAGCTTTGCCTGTTTGTTCAAGGAGATTTTCGCTTGCAGTAGCAAAACTAGCAAGAAGAGATGAGGGAGCTTAACCCAAATACTGGAATGCGTATAACATTTTGGGGCTACACAGCAGTTTAAGGATTTTCTTCCTTCGGGATGCAAGAATAAATACACAAGTGCAAACATTTTAAATACTGACACTGAGATTCTTCAGGGGTCCAACGAAGGGCCTAAAGTGGCAAGGATATATTGAATTTGTTTTAAAATGATTGGTGTAACAATAGTTTCTGAATTGGATAGTTAACAAATAACTAATAATAAAAATAAAATAAAATATAAACAAATATCAAAAAAATGTACCTAAGCAAAATAATCTGTAAAAGGTAAAAAAAATAAACAATAATTGTTCATAATTTCAAAGTTGAACTAAAGACAAAAAAAATCTGAACCAAAGTGAGCACGAATCTTTACAAACGAGTTTTTTCCCCATAATGCCATAACTCCATTTTGATGCATTTCAGTACAAATGTGGGAAAGTGACTTTAGGAGAAAAAAAATCCGTTTCTAGCACCTCGCACACACATAAAATTGTCAAATCCAGATTTGAATAGTTAAATTTTATTTGAAAGTTTAAAAAAAAAAAAACCCTATAAATCCATATTGATGAATTGTGTTTTTTACCAGGAAAGTGGCTGTAGGATAAAATATTAATCTGTTTCTAGCACTTCATACGCATATAAAATTGTCAAATCCAGATTTGAATATTTAAAGATTTATTTGAAAGTTTTTTGTTTTTTTTTCACAAAACGCTATAAATCCAAGAAATAGTTAATGTAAATTGTGTGTTGGTTTAATGGAGTTATGGGATTTTGGATACAAATGGAAAACCCGGAACTGTATTACAAGGCAAATATTGTGTTTTGTTTTTATTTATAATGAGTTTTTCAAATGTGACAAAAATACACTTCAGATTTGCACCATTCACTTTTTTTTTAAATGAATCAGGGTAGGTGGTCAATGTTGATATTTGCATTCACTAAAACATACACACTAAGTCTATCCATACATAACTACCATGTGACTCAGGCAACAGCTTGCTATTGCCCCCTCTCTCTGTACGTCCATTAACTGCTAATTGGCTATACCCTTATTTTGGAAGTCAGTGCGGCTCGAGGGCATTTTTGAAAAATTGTCCACCCTGCCTCGCATTTCATACTAATGATGCACTTAGTATGAGATTTGTTTGAGATATTCTGCTCTCGAATAAATAAATATCTTCTAGAAGTACCACATGCTTCTTCCGCTATACCCTGTGCATTCTCCTCTCAGAGGAATCTGTGAGTGAGAGAAGAGTGAACAGCGTATAATAGCTATAAGTACTTACAAATTTGACACTGGCAGCAGCACTGAAGCGATGGACTCCACTGAAAGTTTAATGAAGGGAGGTCTTGGGAGATGCATGCCCTTCTAAATGTATCTGACAGAGTGGCATGGATGTGCATGAGAGATTCCTATTTTGTCTGTGATTACTGGTGCATTAAACTTATTAAAAATGGCAGCAATGCAACCAAAAGTATTAAATGTGAAATTTATGAATGGTTCTTGTTCATAGGCAACCTAATGGAACAGGTTTGTAATCTTTGAAAAACAAAGGTGCCTTTAAAAGGTACACATTTAAGTTGGCCGTCCAAACTCAAAACTTCGCAGAGAGGACAAATAGAATCAATAATCAATCACGGTTCCTTTACATTTGTAGCAACTTTTCCATGAATTCCATACGATATGAATTTTTAATCAACAATCAACAAGTGGCTCTAGCTTTAGCAACGAAAGCTTGCACGTCATTTGCAATGCATTCTTTTATCTTCAGACACACAGTTGGACGGTTTTACTTTGCCAACTCTAATGCGGCACATTTGCATGTTTGAATTCACAGATGACTAGATTCCTGAATGGTGCACTGCTGAGCCCACTTTTGACAGCAGCCAAATTTATCAGGGTAATCTGACTTTTAAATGTGTGCATCGCCAACCGGGTGAACAGTGAGGGAGACACTGATGGGGCAAATTGAATAGAAGAGGGCAAGTTTTAAGTTGGAGGGAAGTGATTTTCAGCTCTATTATTACGGCACAGGAGCCTCTGTGACAGCAGCATTGATTGTGTGTGTGTTTATGTTTTTTCTTTCTTTCTCTACATATGTTGAGCTCACTGGACCGAGGCTGGATCTTCTCGCGTTACATGCACTGCTACGAAGACTGCTGTTTCTCCAGCTGTTCTCTTTCAGTTCTTTTCTACCACTACACATGTTGTTGGATATAAGGGACAATTAGGTTCCTCAAACAACTCTCAGGGTTGTCTCAAACCCAGTAACAATGTTTAAACACATCTTTTATTTTTGCCTTTTACACAAACTCACATCTGCTATGCTTTAAGAAACTACAGCCGGATGCTTGAATTTAGTCTATTTTAATGATTTCCCATTCTGTGTAACCACAGCACCAAGCTTAAAACAACATCTTGTGGATTTTGCTTTCTTAAACAACATTTAAAGGGATTTGTGGTGTTTGCAAACATTAAAACTCAAAACTTAAAATATTAAAACTCACTGCTTTCCTGTGGCTCAGTCAGTAGAGCATTGCCCTAGCAACCCAAAGGTCTTGGGTTCAAGCCCCAGGGAAAGCAGGAACTACCGGAATGTGTTGGTTGATTGGAATGTAAGTCACTTTCGATAAAAGCCTTTTTGAGTGTTTTTTTTTTTTACTTTACAATTTGCCTTTAAAACTGATTTTTTGGGCAATGCTTGATATAATTTTGTTGTACAATGTCACCATTTTTTTTTTCATTTTATTACACAAATATTCCACAACAAATCCAAAGTTGTACAAGTAATACTATTCTGAGTATTAATTGTTGTTATTTTTACTGTAAATTCATTCTGTTTTGTTCCAGCTTTGAAAAACACAAGCCATATCACGTCTTGTAATTCCAAGTGAAATTCTTTCTTTTTACCACTAGATGGCACTGATTTGGGGTCTGTGAAATGAAACTCGAAGAAGACCACTTTTTTTGACCAATTTTCTCACATTTCATTTTGAATTACTTTGCAAATTATCTGTTACAACTCTTGCAATGTTTGTTTAAAACCTAAAAATATCAATCTGAAACCAACACATTATATTTGAAATTAAAATTAAACAATAGGCGGGCTAAACCATTCCTACTTAATTCAAAAAAGCCCTTTGGGTTTCAAGTTTTATCTTATAAAAATAAAACTGGCCCTATATTAAATGTAGAAGTAAAGATTTCAGGTCAGAGATATACACACACCCACAGTACACGCAGGCACGCACACCCAAAAAACTTTTCAGATATGAAATTTAATTTTCATGAAGGAAACCCTCATCGCTGACCACTGAGAGGGCAAAATCAAATATTTGTTAGGGATCCATGTGACACTCTCAGGGCAGTTAAGGAAGTGTATTGCCATGATGGATTTCTACGGTGTGGCTGTGAGAAATCATAGGAAAGCCCTCTAAATATGGTGCAATTGTTATGGAGAGGAAACGTGAGTGAGGATGACAAGCTGCGGAGGAGTGTGCAATATTAAAGGCCAAGCCTCTGAAGCCAAAGGTAGTCTTTATTAGGTTAGAGGCGCTCTGTAAACTTGTTACAGGCTGCTGTGTTAGATCTCATTCCCCTGCAGGGGCTGGCTGGGATGGTAGCCCTGGAAAACTATCTCTAGGAAGGATTTTTCCTCCATAACCAGTTTATAGTCAGCCACCCTCCAAGTGTTCTCCATCACTTAGCTTCACAACAGTTGGGGAACAAACGCATTAGAGAAGAATTGCCACTGCAGTACATCTGTTATGGTTGTCTATTGAGGTGCTGGGAATCTCTTGTATTCAAGAAGCTTGAGAAAATGGATTTGAAATTGTTTGTGCTCAATGCTCTCCAGTCAGTTCTCTGAGTAAAGAAAAATGGTCAAAGGACCCATTCTGCTGTTAAAGTACCCAACTTGTTTAAAGTCAGGCATCAAACGGGTCTTGTAATTTGGCTGGTTTTGCCCTTTTTGGGCAAGACTTTTATAAAAAATAATTAAAAAAAATCAGTTTGTACCAAGTCTCTTTTAGTCACTTCCCATTACAATTGGTGTATGTAGGTTCCTGGACAAGTATGGACAAATTAAACTGGTCTCCATTTTCTTTTAACAACATTTCCACATATTAATCCGTGCAGAAAGTAGTTCCTGGCTGTTGATCAAAAACTCACACGCACAAGAATGACTTAGACAATGTTGATGTGTTTTGGTATTTTGCTAGTTGACAGTCTGAACCTGCAGATGTAGCATAACACTGGAGCTCTGGAAGTCTTAACAAGCCTTGCATCAGCCCATGCATGAACAACTGCACAATTATCTTTCTAGCATGCCATGCAGCACATATGGTGGCTTTATGAAATATGTCCTTACCAAGACAGCTTGCTAAATGCTCATTTTGCCTTCCCTTTAACTTCTCGGCAAGGCAGAGCACTTAATTGAAGAGTAGCACAATGGAAAAGTACAATATGTGAAGAATGCAAGGAGCTCTGTGGGTCTCGCTGAATGTGTCAGGGCCGCTGTGTTTGTAATACACAGATGTCATCCTATTAATTTGAGGGAGAATAATTATGGGACTATAGAGTACCCAGATGTCACCAGCGGCTGCCATTATGAGCCCACATGTATGTGTTTGTTGAATATATTTGCCTGTCACTCCGCGCAAGATTAAATGGTGACAGGCTTGTCTTGCAGTTCCGTTTCTGAATTAGCAATTCTAATCTCAGATGTGTGTTTGAATAGTGTAGATATTAAAAGCAGCAGCAGCAGAGAGACTTTTGATAAAGTGTGTTGTATCCTCAATGTTTTTAATAGGGGAGGGATTTGAGCTCTCACAGCACCATAAGAGCCTGTGTCACTCTCTCTTCTGTTCGGTTGGTTCAACTGTCATGCATTTCTTGTAGAGCTACTGCCAAGCTGCTCATGGGAGAAACGTGTGAAAAGCCTGTCGCAATTACTGGCGCATTTGCACTTCACGCTGGGGCATGAATTTGGAACACACAATACTTGGATGAAGCCAACTTTCCGTGGCAACCCACCGACAACGTGCAATGTTCCCACATGCATATACACAAAAAGTGGCTTCTTTGAGGTTTATTTAAGGCATCGTTTGATAAAATCACACACTGCATTTAAATAATTATAATAACCTATCATTACGTGAGGTTTGTCTCCCTTGCAACTGAAAAATTGTGCATTCGCTCACTAAAGTTGCTCAGATCCTTTTTTCAATGGTTCCATTGTTGTACAAAGACAGCCATTTCTGCACAGGTTTAGACGGGCAGAAGAAAATTCCAAGATTAGAACACGTCCAGCGGGAAAGGAAATGTCATCGAGATCAATGTTATTGACCCATGACTCAGATGGAGCAGTGAAGTGAGTGAAAGAAGAAGAGGTTGAATAGACTGAAATTCTTTGAACTTACCGCGTACAAAAAGGATGTAGTCATCATATGCTTCACCCAAAAGGTTGGATGCTACGCATCTGTAAGTGCCATTGTAGGACTTGTTGAGATTTTCAATGAAGAGATCTGTGCCAGTGATGACTGCGTGAGAAGGCACATCATCGTCCACTCTCACCCAGTTCACCTGCTGAGGCCTAGGCAGAGACACAGAGCAGAAAAGCACTTGGTTCATTTGTGTGCAGGCAGAGCATCCAAGTGTTTCTGGCTCCGGGACCAACACAAACAGCACTCTCAACAACCATTCTTCCCAAGTGAACGATTCCCAAGTGAACACCTAATGTTTCATTTAGGTCAATCTTGGTGACAAGACAAGACCTTTGATGACAGGCAAACATTTACAATTCAAATTACACAAAAGAATAAAATAATAATAATAAAATATTTTTTTAAAAATTCAGAAAACAAAGCAACAAACTCCAAACAAAAAGATTGATTTAGGGCCAAACAGGAAGAGGAAAAAAGAAGAACAAGGGTCCAAAGAGAACCATAAGACCTTTTAAGTTGACTTAAGTGAATTAGATGGAACAAAGTAAAGTAATTAATTTAAGGTAAATATAACATATCAAACATTTGTGCCCAAGATCAATACATTGCAGCTACACTCAGCAGTGCAGAGATATATACATTTTTTTATTGGATTGTTTTGGTCAGTAAGGTGGAAGAATCATGTCTTGGATGAGTTTGTAAAAGTAAAACAGTGAAAGAAGTAAAAATGGTGATCAATAAGACCAAAAAGTTTCTAAGCATAAAGTGAAAATTTGGATTAGTTAGACGGTACATATTGTATCAACTGACTCATACGATCCTGTTGTATTGTACCAAATTTTGTTGCTTGGATCCTAAAATCAATTTGGAAAATGCAACAGCAAAAATGAAGACAAGTGCACAAATCTAAAAACAAAATACATAAAAAAAATAAAAAATGTGAAACCAAAAAAAGTCAAAAGCACAACAAATTAGACAAACTGGACAAATGTATATTACATTAGATTACTCATTGTGGATGAGACATAACAATGCCTCTAGAACAGGAAATGTCTGCTTTTATTTGTTTTTGTGAAGAGATTGCACATAAAACACATAGAAAGAATCAAGACAATGAAATTGATTAAACATATCTGAGAGGGAAAGCATTCTGATTGTAGAAATGTTCTCAGATTCTACACACCATGGAACACCATGTATGCATTCTCAAACACAAACTAGAAGGATACGGACCGGTTTAGAAGAAAAACCCTTTTCTCGGTTAAATGTAATAAACAGCACAACAAGAGCAGAGCTTTAAGGACCAGGGCTGCTGTCTGGCCTCAATATGGACAATGAGGTAAGTGCTTATGCAGCCATTAGTTCTTGTTTTTTGATTTGTGTATTTGCATAGATGCGTTTTTAGATTGGTAGCTATGTTGACACACCCATCAGCTCCTACTTTGGCTTTAGATACATTGGATCTATTTAAAGAGGGACAGGCTCTTTAGTAATACTTATATTAAAATATATATTCAGACAATACACAGTAAACGTGAGTGGAGTAAACATATGATGTTCTCTAGCTCAAACTAAGTCTATGGGGGAGGGGTTTAACAAACTTTGGGGTTCAATTAATGTCTTAGTTTAAGGTCTGACTAAATGAATTCCATTCTGCAAGGTAACACACACGCACAAAAAAATGGTGTGATATTCTCTTGTCAGTTTCAATTAACTGGCACGCTTTCTTCTCTGAATACATAAACCAGCCTTTTCCACTTTCACAGTGATGTGCTTGAAAAATATAAGAAGCACAAAATTTCAGTGGTACTGCTGCAGTTTATTTATTTCCCAGGAGCATCTGAGGAGATTCCCCTTGTTGTTCTGGTTTTGTTTTGGTGTAGTTGTAGCTATACTCTTTAAAAGCAGAGAGAGGGAGAAAATACTAAACAACAAAAACAAAAAACCTTTTAGAGTCACGAACAAAGCAGTGGTTTGCGTTCAATAGCAACCGATCGTCGTCTCTGAGGAGGGGAGAAAAAAATGAATGGCAAGCAGCAAGTGGGCAATCACATAGAGTCTTGATCTGAGGTTAAATATACATGCACAGCATAACGATGAAGACGGTCCTGATATGGAAAGGAGAAATGACCTAGAAAA